GGCACTGAAGAATCTGACTTACTGTTCTGACCCAAACCTTGTTCCAAGGAAACAAACACAAACAGAGGTAACAGCAAAACCTTGTAAGGCTTCTTTGCGAATCCCGTTCCTTCCCGGTTAAAAGGCTGTTTCAAACTAATTGTCTCTGATAAGAACGAGCCTTGCCAAGGTGGTGCAAGGCTGCCAAGAACATGAGATAAAGTTACTAAGAAATATTTCAAACATAAAGAGTCTCCAAACACCAACCAAGATACTCTGAACGTCCACTAGGCTTGAGTGCAAAAACTTCTTTGCTTCCTGAAAAGAATTCCGGTCTCTCAGGCTGGCTTTTATCCCTTAAGGGAGGGGCCATCACCTTGCAGCCTTACTCCTGAGTCTCCCGTGCTGCTGCAGCTGCTCTTTCCTTCGAGCAGCCCTGCACACACGCCCACTGGGCACAGGCTCCTCGGGGACCTCTTCCATCACTGCTGCCAGCCTCCACAATCTCCGAAGGCAGCGCTCCACTCCCTGATGGTCCTGGCCCCATCCCTGCATCACACGCAGGCCCCTCATCCGAGTCCTCGCACTCCGAGACTTCAGCTGTCGGCACCTGCTAATTCTCTAATTCATTCAAATATTTGATTTAATTTCTCTTATTTATTTTTTTGTCCCATCACAGAGTCATTCTCTTGGTTGGTCATTTGTGAATGAATTAGAGATTAAGACTTTTAAAAGTAAAAGGCAGCTGATGAATGGCCCCTGGCTAGCTCTGGGACGAGCGGTAGCTTCACGAGGAGAAAGTCAGCAGTGGTCGTCCTGCTTTCACGGTCCATCTTGTGGCTGCCCCTGGAAACTGGACGGGACACTTCAGTCATGTTTCGGACCGTGATGAAGTAATGAGATGGCCTCGGTGGAGCTTGTAGATGACCTTTGGTGCATCTGTCCGTGTTCCCTTTGCTCTCTTGGTGGTTTTTAATACCTCCAGCACTCATGTCCTTCTGAATTGGCTACCTGAGCTGGTGGGGGGGACAAGACACTGTTTTATGGAGTTCTGTTCTTTTCTCCAGGACATGTTTCTGTTATTGGGGCAGAGGTGGTTCCCTCAGCCTCTCCATTGTGGGGTGCTGCAGCTTCTCCACAACTACATGAAACAATATGCTGATGACACCTCATTATATCTTTCAGTCTTGGGCCGGCCAATCAAGGCTCCTTCCCAGTGCCTGTGCAGCCTTGCACAGGTGTGGATGGGAACAACTGTCTCTAGCTCAGTCCTGGGTGTTTCCAGGATTGGGGAGGTTCCACCCTTCATCATGGATGGGGTAGCATTTCCCATTCAAGAGGGCAGCCTGGGGGTTTCCCAGAATTCATAGCTCTTGTTAGGAGTGCGTAACTGGTGAGCCCAAAGTGTCCAGATTGTTTCCATTCCATATTATTTAGGTTAACAATAATACCTTCAGTAATACTTTAAAAAGTAAAACTATCATCATAGTATGAGACCTTAACTAGGAGATCCTGGATATTTAACCATTAAAAGATCAATTTATTTAAAGTATTTAAGTGGAATTAACACTGGCATTGGTGTCTAAATATTTTTCAGTCTTGATGCAAAATTCGTTTTCACAACATTAGTTCTTTCCCGCAAACCTACAGTTTCATCTACGTATTCTCTTTCTTTTTGAAATGTTCTTAGTACAGTATTTTTTCTTGCAGATAGTAATCCTAGCTACTGAACAGCTTCTGGATAATATACAAATCTTAACTTTTTAATACATCTTTAGAACCTTCTAACCAATTGGGATTGTATTTATTGTATTCCCATAATATTTACTGTATAACTGTACCACTTCTACACATTGAGGTAGAGTTGATCATAATTGGAAAAACGCTAGCGTTTCCATATAACAGAATTTTGCCCTCAAAATCAGTTACATTTGGTGAGATTAATTCCTTTAATCTCATGAATTTGTCCTTATTAGACCTGTTACCAGATGGAAAATCAGAAAGGAAGAATGACCATGGCAAGTTCCCAAATTGCTTTTTAATTATTGATAAAAGAATTCAATTGATAATTACACAAGCCGAGATCCTTCCCAAATAGAGAATTGCTGATTGTGCACCACTTACGCCCGCTGTCACCTATGTCCGGCCATCTCCCGTTTGGACTGCTGTAACACACTTTACATGGGGCTTTCCCTGAAGAGCATGTGGAAGCTTCAATTGGTTAAAAGGGCAATGGGCCATACAGTTTGAAATCTCAATTTGCGCGTCACCTTTTTTTGCTAGAGCTGGTTACTGATTTGTTTCTGGGTGCAATTCAAGATGCTGGTTATTACCCTCAAGGCTTGGGGTCAGGTTATTTGAAGGACCACCTCTCCCCAGCTGATCAAAGCAGGAAGGCGTGGCATGTTGTGGGTACCATTGGGGAAGGATATCTAGTGGGGCCCAGAAGGGCCTTTTCTGTGGTGGCTCCCTCTTCCTGGAATCCCATTCCCCAGACATAAGATTGGCCCCTACCTTGATATTTTTCTGGAAGGTGCTGAAGGTGCGGTTCTGTCAGTGAGCTGGAGACCCTGGGTGTGACTGTGCTTGCTGCAGGGGTGGGTGTGGGAAGTGAGGGGCATTTTTATACTGTGGGATTTTAATAATGTAAGCTACCCAGAGTCACGTGTCTCTATGTTGATACTGTTTGTTCTTCTTCATCATCATTTCTCCAGGAAATGTTAAGGATTATTTCTGTCTATTGATCATACTACCAGGGGATACTCCCAAGTAAATAGTCCAGAGTTTCTGGAGGACATTAATTTGTGGAAAGCTGAATTATTCAAATGCAGCAAAAAACCCATCTAAGGTTGCTGTGGGTCCATATTTAGGAATAAGTACCATAAAATGGACATCTTTCAACCAAAATGCATTTGTGTGTGCCTGGGACCTGCTGCGCTTGAATCCCTAGAGCTTTATTAAACTAGCCAGTGAAAGGCCTGAGGGGAGGAGGCCCAATTCCGCACTCCATAGACTCGGGGGTGGGTGGGTGGACACGCCTTGGTGGCCATGCCTGCAGGTGCCGATTTCTTGAACAAAACGAAGGGCGGTTCCATAGAAGCAAAGCCAGTTTTCAAAACAGAACAGAATAGAATTCTTTTATCGGCCAAGTGTGATTGGACACACAAGGAATTTGTCTTGGTGTAAATACTCTCAGTGTACATAAAAGCTACATTTGTCAAGAGTCAAGAATCATAACGTACAACACTTAATAATAGTCATAGGGTACAATAAGCAATCAAATCATACTAGGAAACAGTCCATATAAATCGCAAGGATACAAGCGACAAAGTTACAGTCATTCAGTCACAAGTGGGAGGGGATGGGCGATAAGGAGTGAGGAGAAGATGAATAGTAATAGTAGTGCAGACTTTGTAAATAGTTGGACAGTGTTGAGGGAATTATTTGTTTAGCAGAGTGATGGCTTTCGGGGGGAAAACACTGTCCTTGTGTTCAGTTGTTCTGGTGTGCAGGGCTCTACAGCGTCGTTTTGAGGGAAGGAGTGGAAACAGTTTGTGTCTGGGATGTGAGGGGTCTGCAGATATTTTCACAGGCTATTGCTGGAATAAGCCGCACCCTCTTTCCTAGGCACCCACTACATCCGCGGAGTCAACAATGCCTCCCAGCCCTGGCACAGCTCAGAAGGCCGCAAGCAATACAGCCTGAAGCCTGCCAACCCCACAGAGGAAGGGCTGGCCAGCCTGCACAGCGTCCTCTTCCGCAAGCAGCCTTTCCTCTGGAGGGCTGCCCTCCTCTACTACACCGTCTGCCAGGCTGGGCGCCTGTCCTTCTGCGAACTCTTCCGGGACCTGGGGCGCTACGTGCAGGATGCCGGGGTCCGGTGGGAGTACTGCGTGCGAGCCAAGCGAGGCCAGGCCGACACCTCATTGCCAGGTGGGGGGGAGGGGTGGTTACAAAAACGGCCATCCTTGAGCCTTTCTGGTCCTCCTGACGGCCAGGGGGCAGGTGGCCTCCCCTGGGCCTCCCCTTCTGCCTTTCTAGCCAGTGGATCCCTGGGAGAGAGTGCAGGGAAGCACCTGCCTGCCTGCCTGCCTGCCTCCATTCTGGGGTGAAAGGCCTGTATGACCCTCTCTCTCCCCTGCCCCCCATCCTGACCCTCCTTGGCAACAGTCCCTGGAGCCATTTGGCTTTGGAGGCATTTTTCAAACCTAATTGGCATTCAGGAGGTTTGGGGGGCTTCAGCAGCAGCCCCTCCCCCCTCAAGGCCCCCCTCCCCTCACGGGTTTTCAAAAGCATGGCGCCAGAAGGAAGCTGACAGTCACAGCGCAAGCAAGAGATTTGCTGTAGAAACCTTCCCTCCCAGCCCGCTTCCAAGCCCAAAAGGACCCCCAGTCACCTTGTCCAGAGGCTGCTGGCACAGAGCCCATTACAAGAAGCTCCCCTTGGCCGGATCTCTGTGGTGCCAGGCAAGGGGGGGAGGGGGCTCTGAAATGGAAGCAAGGGTTTGGCTCAGGCACTTAGGATCGGCTGCTGCTGCTGCTTCCTCTGCAGGCTGCTTCAGCAAAGACCAGGTGTACCTGGAAGGAATCCTCCAGATCCTCCGGCATCGACAAACGATTGATTTCCAGTTGCTGGCTGCCCTGGGCAAGGTAGGTGGAGGGAGGCCACTTGCTTTTGGCTCTGGCACAGCCCTCCCAGCGGAGACGGGTGGGGGGGAGGAATCTTGGATCATCATGGAGACCTTTGCTTTTGGTTCCCCCCCTCCCCCCCGCCCAAAAAGCTACATTGCCTAGTGCAAGCTTGGATTTAAGTGATGTTCACACCAACTGAGCAAGGATTAGCATTCTCTGAGAAATATTTCTCCCCAGGGGTCTGTTTTTATCATTCAATTATCATTTACACCTTGGAAAACAGTATTTGCATGGGACCCAACTTTAACAAACTGCTCATAAAGTCCCCCTAAGTTTAGCAGCCGTATTTCTTC